ATAGATTGCGCAATAATTTATGTTGTTTTTCTTTTTAGTCTATTTACCTCGTTAACGTAAATAATACTCGAAACATTCACACATGCATTATTTGTGATTAAGATAATGGTTGTTGGTAATTTATTAGCGACCCCCACAGATGTTTGATTTCACTGCTTTCATAGGAGCTCAGACCCTCCTTATGAGAGCTCAGCTCCCATTGGCTCCCGGCGGTCTCAAAGGAGAGGTATATTAATAGTGTGAAGATGGTAATCAATACATTTATATAACAGATTGTGTGGAGTAAAATGCACAAGAAGCTTAATTCACCTTTACAATGTGTGTGTGTGTGTGTGTGTGTGTGTGTGTGTGTGTGTGTGTGTGTGTGTGTGTGTGTGTGTGTGTGTGTGTGTGTGTGTGTGTGTGTGTGTGTGTGTGTGTGTGTGTGTGTGTGTGTGTGTGTGTGTGTGTGTGTGTGTGTGTGTGTGTGTGTGTGTGTGTAGCTCTGACTGACATCAAGCTCTGGGCGGTCGACAGGCAGTGTTTCCAGACCATCATGATGAGAACCAGCCTCATCAAACACTCGCAATACACAGACTACCTGCGCAGGTACACACACGCACACACACACGCACACACGCACACACACTTCACAGTTTTAATCCTCTCCATATTACAATGACTCACATTTCCAAACTCTCTTTCCACTCTCTTCCCGAGGACATCCAAACAAAGACGTACCAAAGCAGAATATTTTTTGTCAGATTTAAAAACTATTAAATGTCCTTTTGTTTCCTCAAAGTCCAAGGTCTTCAAATGTGTTGTCGTCAGTCCAAAACCCAAAGACTTGACTTCTTACATGATGAACCCAAATACCTGTACTTTCTACTCCTTACATGTTGAACCCAAATACCTGTACTTTCTACTTCTTACATGTTGAACTCAAATACCTGTACTTTCTACTTCTTACATGTTGAACACAAATACCTGTACTTTCTACTTCTTACATGTTGAACACAAATACCTGTACTTTCTACTTCTTACATGTTGAACACAAATACCTGTACTTTCTACTTCTTACATGTTGAACTCAAATACCTGTACTTTCTACTTCTTACATGTTGAACACAAATACCTGTACTTTCTACTTCTTACATGTTGAACTCAAATACCTGTACTTTCTACTTCTTACATGTTGAACTCAAATACCTGTACTTTCTACTTCTCACATGTTGAACTCAAATACCTGTACTTTCTACTTCTTACATGTTGAACACAAATACCTGTACTTTCTACTTCTTACATGTTGAACCCAAATACCTGTACTTTCTACTTCTTACATGTTGAACACAAATACCTGTACTTTCTACTTCTCACATGTTGAACACAAATACCTGTACTTTCTACTTCTCACATGTTGAACACAAATACCTGTACTTTCTACTTCTTACATGTTGAACCCAAATACCTGTACTTTCTACTTCTTACATGTTGAACACAAATACCTGTACTTTCTACTTCTCACATGTTGAACTCAAATACCTGTACTTTCTACTTCTTACATGTTGAACCCAAATACCTGTACTTTCTACTTCTTACATGTTGAACACAAATACCTGTACTTTCTACTTCTTACATGTTGAACCCAAATACCTGTACTTTCTACTTCTTACATGTTGAACCCAAATACCTGTACTTTCTACTTCTTACATGTTGAACACAAATACCTGTACTTTCTACTTCTTACATGTTGAACTCAAATACCTGTACTTTCTACTTCTTACATGTTGAACACAAATACCTGTACTTTCTACTTCTTACATGTTGAACACAAATACCTGTACTTTCTACTTCTTACATGTTGAACACAAATACCTGTACTTTCTACTTCTTACATGTTGAACACAAATACCTGTACTTTCTACTTCTTACATGTTGAACCCAAATACCTGTACTTTCTACTTCTTACATGTTGAACTCAAATACCTGTACTTTCTACTTCTTACATGTTGAACTCAAATACCTGTACTTTCTACTTCTCACATGTTGAACACAAATACCTGTACTTTCTACTTCTCACATGTTGAACCCAAATACCTGTACTTTCTACTTCTTACATGTTGAACACAAATACCTGTACTTTCTACTTCTCACATGTTGAACCCAAATACCTGTACTTTCTACTTCTCACATGTTGAACACAAATACCTGTACTTTCTACTTCTTACATGTTGAACACAAATACCTGTACTTTCTACTTCTTACATGTTGAACACAAATACCTGTACTTTCTACTTCTTACATGTTGAACACAAATACCTGTACTTTCTACTTCTTACATGTTGAACACAAATACCTGTACTTTCTACTTCTTACATGTTGAACTCAAATACCTGTACTTTCTACTTCTTACATGTTGAACTCAAATACCTGTACTTTCTACTTCTTACATGTTGAACACAAATACCTGTACTTTCTACTTCTCACATGTTGAACTCAAATACCTGTACTTTCTACTTCTTACATGTTGAACACAAATACCTGTACTTTCTACTTCTTACATGTTGAACTCAAATACCTGTACTTTCTACTTCTTACATGTTGAACACAAATACCTGTACTTTCTACTTCTTACATGTTGAACACAAATACCTGTACTTTCTACTTCTCACATGTTGAACACAAATACCTGTACTTTCTACTTCTTACATGTTGAACTCAAATACTTGTACTTTCTACTTCTCACATGTTGAACACAAATACCTGTACTTTCTACTTCTTACATGTTGAACTCAAATACCTGTACTTTCTACTTCTTACATGTTGAACACAAATACCTGTACTTTCTACTTCTTACATGTTGAACACAAATACCTGTACTTTCTACTTCTTACATGTTGAACACAAATACCTGTACTTTCTACTTCTTACATGTTGAACTCAAATACCTGTACTTTCTACTTCTTACATGTTGAACACAAATACCTGTACTTTCTACTTCTTACATGTTGAACTCAAATACCTGTACTTTCTACTTCTTACATGTTGAACTCAAATACCTGTACTTTCTACTTCTCACATGTTGAACTCAAATACCTGTACTTTCTACTTCTTACATGTTGAACACAAATACCTGTACTTTCTACTTCTTACATGTTGAACCCAAATACCTGTACTTTCTACTTCTTACATGTTGAACACAAATACCTGTACTTTCTACTTCTCACATGTTGAACACAAATACCTGTACTTTCTACTTCTCACATGTTGAACACAAATACCTGTACTTTCTACTTCTTACATGTTGAACCCAAATACCTGTACTTTCTACTTCTTACATGTTGAACACAAATACCTGTACTTTCTACTTCTCACATGTTGAACTCAAATACCTGTACTTTCTACTTCTTACATGTTGAACCCAAATACCTGTACTTTCTACTTCTTACATGTTGAACACAAATACCTGTACTTTCTACTTCTTACATGTTGAACCCAAATACCTGTACTTTCTACTTCTTACATGTTGAACCCAAATACCTGTACTTTCTACTTCTTACATGTTGAACACAAATACCTGTACTTTCTACTTCTTACATGTTGAACTCAAATACCTGTACTTTCTACTTCTTACATGTTGAACACAAATACCTGTACTTTCTACTTCTTACATGTTGAACACAAATACCTGTACTTTCTACTTCTTACATGTTGAACACAAATACCTGTACTTTCTACTTCTTACATGTTGAACACAAATACCTGTACTTTCTACTTCTTACATGTTGAACCCAAATACCTGTACTTTCTACTTCTCACATGTTGAACCCAAATACCTGTACTTTCTACTTCTTACATGTTGAACACAAATACCTGTACTTTCTACTTCTCACATGTTGAACCCAAATACCTGTACTTTCTACTTCTCACATGTTGAACACAAATACCTGTACTTCTACTTCTTACATGTTGAACACAAATACCTGTACTTTCTACTTCTTACATGTTGAACACAAATACCTGTACTTTCTACTTCTTACATGTTGAACACAAATACCTGTACTTTCTACTTCTTACATGTTGAACTCAAATACCTGTACTTTCTACTTCTTACATGTTGAACACAAATACCTGTACTTTCTACTTCTCACATGTTGAACTCAAATACCTGTACTTTCTACTTCTTACATGTTGAACACAAATACCTGTACTTTCTACTTCTTACATGTTGAACTCAAATACCTGTACTTTCTACTTCTTACATGTTGAACTCAAATACTTGTACTTTCTACTTCTTACATGTTGAACACAAATACCTGTACTTTCTACTTCTTACATGTTGAACTCAAATACCTGTACTTTCTACTTCTTACATGTTGAACACAAATACCTGTACTTTCTACTTCTCACATGTTGAACTCAAATACTTGTACTTTCTACTTCTCACATGTTGAACACAAATACCTGTACTTTCTACTTCTTACATGTTGAACTCAAATACCTGTACTTTCTACTTCTTACATGTTGAACTCAAATACCTGTACTTTCTACTTCTTACATGTTGAACTCAAATACCTGTACTTTCTACTTCTCTCATTTCCCAAACAGCTGGGTCCTTTAGTCTGAATGTGTGTTTGATGCGTGATCATTATTCTTTAGAGTCATTGCGTGCCTATTGATTTGAACACGATCCGTGTATCCATCATTTCCTGGTCTTCTCTAAAGAAGAGGGACCAATGGAAACGTTGTCATGTTGCCGTTGTTCAGCATGGAAACATTCATTAGCTAACAATGACATTATTGTTCTATTAATATAAAGGGAGGTCAGGTACTCTTTAAAGCAGCTGCTAGCTATGGGTACTTTTTACTGAAGTACACTTCAAAGCCTCTTTACTTTGACTTGAGTAAAGTAGTTTAGTCAGTACTTCTACTTTCACCAGAGTATCTTTAAACACGAGTATCTGTACTTCTACTTGAGTAAAGGATGTGTGTACTTTGCCCTCTCTCCAAACTATCTACAGCGTTCCCTCTTTGCGGTCTCTTCCCGAGGACATCCTGAGCAAACTGGCCGATGTTTTAGAAGAGGTGACAGTTTTAATAAAGATTCAGTCTCCTATAAAAAGCTTTGCAGGAATACGGTATCTGTTATTCCATCTGACGTGTTCACATGTTTGACGTACGTGTGTCCTCTCTCAGACTCATTACAGCGACTGTGATTACATTATCCGTCAGGGAGCCACCGGAGACACGTTCTTCATCATCAGCGAGGGGCAGGTGAGGAGGAGGAGGAGGAAGAGGGAAGCATTACGGGTGGATCTTTCATTCGATAAAATGCAAAACAAACAAAACGTTTAACATTGTTATTTAATATGTGTGAACAGGTGAAGATGACGCAGCAAAGCTCACCTGGAGACGAGCAGGTGATGAAGACGCTGAGCAAAGGAGACTGGTTTGGAGAGCAAGCTCTGAAAGGGTGAAAGAGGACTCTTTAAAGTAGAGACACTACATACTGATACACACCTGAACATCAGCAGGAGAGGACTCTTTAAAGTAGAGACACTACATACTGATATACACCTGAACATCAGCAGGAGAGGACTCTTTAAAGTACAGACACTACATACTGATATACACCTGAACATCAGCAGGAGAGGACTCTTTAAAGTAGAGACACTACATACTGATATACACCTGAACATCAGCAGGAGAGGACTCTTTAAAGTAGAGACACTACATACTGATATACACCTGAACATCAGCAGGAGAGGACTCTTTAAAGTAGAGACACTACATACTGATATACACCTGAACATCAGCAGGAGAGGACTCTTTAAAGTAGAGACACTACATACTGATATACACCTGAACATCAGCAGGAGAGGACTCTTTAAAGTAGAGACACTACATACTGATATACACCTGAACATCAGCAGGAGAGGACTCTTTAAAGTAGAGACACTACATACTGATATACACCTGAACATCAGCAGGAGAGGACTCTTTAAAGTAGAGACACTACATACTGATATACACCTGAACATCAGCAGGAGAGGACTCTTTAAATTAGAGACACTACATACTGATATATACCTGAACATCAGCAGGAGAGGACTCTTTAAAGTAGAGACACTGCATACTGATATACACCTGAACATCAGCAGGAGAGGACTCTTTAAAGTAGAGACACTACATACTGATATACACCTGAACACCAGCAGGAGAGGACCTCTTTAAAGTAGAGACACTACATACTGATATACACCTGAACATCAGCAGGAGAGGACTCTTTAAAGTAGAGACACTACATACTGATATACACCTGAACACCAGCAGGAGAGGACTCTTTAAAGTAGAGACACTACATACTGATATACACCTGAACATCAGCAGGAGAGGACTCTTTAAAGTAGAGACACTCCATACTGATATACACCTGAACATCAGCAGGAGAGGACTCTTTAAAGTAGAGACACTACATACTGATATACACCTGAACATCAACAGGAGAGGACTCTTTAAAGTAGAGACACTACATACTGATATACACCTGAACATCAGCAGGAGAGGACTCTTTAAAGTAGAGACACTACATACTGATATACACCTGAACATCAACAGGAGAGGACTCTTTAAAGTATAGACACTACATACTGATATACACCTGAACATCAGCAGGAGAGGACTCTTTAAATTAGAGACACTACATACTGATATACACCTGAACATCAGCAGGAGAGGACTCTTTAAAGTAGAGACACTACACACTGATATACACCTGAACATCAGCAGGAGAGGACTCTTTAAAGTAGAGACACTACATACTGATATACACCTGAACATCAGCAGGAGAGGACTCTTTAAAGTAGAGACACTACATACTGATATACACCTGAACATCAGCAGGAGAGGACTCTTTAAGTAGAGACACTACATACTGATATACACCTGAACATCAGCAGGAGAGGACTCTTTAAAGTAGAGACACTACATACTGATATACACCTGAACATCAGCAGGAGAGGACTCTTTAAAGTACAGACACTACATACTGATATACACCTGAACATCAGCAGGAGAGGACTCTTTAAAGTAGAGACACTACATACTGATATACACCTGAACATCAGCAGGAGAGGACTCTTTAAAGTACAGACACTACATACTGATATACACCTGAACATCAGCAGGAGAGGACTCTTTAAAGTAGAGACACTACATACTGATATACACCTGAACATCAGCAGGAGAGGACTCTTTAAAGTAGAGACACTACATACTGATATACACCTGAACATCAGCAGGAGAGGACTCTTTAAAGTAGAGACACTACATACTGATATACACCTGAACATCAGCAGGAGAGGACTCTTTAAAGTAGAGACACTACATACTGATATACACCTGAACATCAGCAGGAGAGGACTCTTTAAATTAGAGACACTACATACTGATATATACCTGAACATCAGCAGGAGAGGACTCTTTAAAGTAGAGACACTGCATACTGATATACACCTGAACATCAGCAGGAGAGGACTCTTTAAAGTAGAGACACTACATACTGATATACACCTGAACATCAGCAGGAGAGGACTCTTTAAAGTAGAGACACTACATACTGATATACACCTGAACACCAGCAGGAGAGGACTCTTTAAAGTAGAGACACTACATACTGATATACACCTGAACATCAGCAGGAGAGGACTCTTTAAAGTAGAGACACTACATACTGATATACACCTGAACATCAGCAGGAGAGGACTCTTTAAAGTAGAGACACTACATACTGATATACACCTGAACATCAACAGGAGAGGACTCTTTAAAGTAGAGACACTACATACTGATATACACCTGAACATCAGCAGGAGAGGACTCTTTAAAGTAGAGACACTACATACTGATATACACCTGAACATCAACAGGAGAGGACTCTTTAAAGTAGAGACACTACATACTGATATACACCTGAACATCAGCAGGAGAGGACTCTTTAAATTAGAGACACTACATACTGATATACACCTGAACATCAGCAGGAGAGGACTCTTTAAAGTAGAGACACTACACACTGATATACACCTGAACATCAGCAGGAGAGGACTCTTTAAAGTAGAGACACTACATACTGATATACACCTGAACATCAGCAGGAGAGGACTCTTTAAAGTAGAGACACTACATACTGATATACACCTGAACATCAGCAGGAGAGGACTCTTTAAAGTAGAGACACTACATACTGATATACACCTGAACATCAGCAGGAGAGGACTCTTTAAAGTAGAGACACTACATACTGATATACACCTGAACATCAGCAGGAGAGGACTCTTTAAAGTAGAGACACTACATAGTACTCTGACACAGAAATTAATCCTGCATTTCCTTTCCTTTCTGCATTTAGGGAGGATGTTCGTACAGCCAGTGTGACGGCAGTGGGAGACGTCACATGTCTGGTGATCGACAGAGAGTGAGTGAGTCTCTCTGTTCAGCGTGAACATCGTTCTAATCCAGTAAATAAACACTTACAAAGATTCTCTGCATCCCTAAAGGTCTTTCAAACAGCTGATCGGAGGACTGGAGGACGTCAACAACAAGCAGCTCGACAGCGACGAGGTCAAAGCCAAGTCAGTATCATGGAGAGCTGTGTTGTAGCTTTCTGGGGCTTTTATTTTGAAAAACAGGCCTCTTCCTGAGCTGCAGGAGAGGACTACAATAAGCATGCTTAATATTGTACTTTGTATTCAAACTACCTGGAATTTTATATAACATTATTGGATGGAAACAAACATTAATTCCCTTTTTCTTTTGATGATTTTCTGGTAATTTGGTGACATTTGATTTACATGTAGATTGAGACTTCACTAACAGCATCTCACCTTGAAAGAGAGTTGCTTCTCATGTAATGTATTCCTGTTTCCTCCTCTCTGTAGTTTGCAGGCAGAAGCAGATTTCTTCTCCAGTGTTTCTCTGAGTAGTTTCAACACCATCTGCACTCTGGGGATGGGAGGCTTCAGTCGAGTGGAGCTGGTGAGGAAAGCATGATATATCAAATATAATATATCAAATATAAAGGTGAAGTCATGTGACCGTGCTGTAGTTCCTTTATAGCCCAACATTAGCCACCTTTAGCTTAGCGGTGGTGACGTGAAGTCATGTGACCGTGCTGTAGTTCCTTTATAGCCCAACATTAGCCTCCTTTAGCTTAGCGGTGGTGACGTGAAGTCATGTGACCGTGCTGTAGTTCCTTTATAGCCCAACATTAGCCACCTTTAGCTTAGCGGTGGTGACGAGAAGTCATGTGACCGTGCTGTAGTTCCTTTATAGCCCAGCATTAGCCACCTTTAGCTTAGCGGTGGTGACGAGAAGTCATGTGACCGTGCTGTAGTTCCTTTATAGCCCAACATTAGCCTCCTTTAGCTTAGCGGTGGTGACGTGAAGTCATGTGACCGTGCTGTAGTTCCTTTATAGCCCAGCATTAGCCGCCTTTAGCTTAGCAGTGGTGACGTGAAGTCATGTGACTGTGCTGTAGTTCCTTTATAGCCCAACATTAGCCGCATTTAGCTTAGCAGTGGTGACGTGAAGTCATGTGACCGTGCTGTAGTTCCTCTATAGCCCAACATTATCCTCCTTTAGCTTAGCGGTGGTGACGTGAAGTCATAAAATGGACTTTTATTAATCCCTCGTGGGGAAATTGTTTCTCTGCATTTGACCCATCCTGTGTTAGGAGCAGTGTGCTCATGTGACCGTGCTGTAGTTCCTTTATAGCCCAACATTAGCCTCCGTTAGCTTAGCGGTGGTGACGTGAAGTCATGTGACCGTGCTGTAGTTCCTTTATAGCCCAACATTAGCCACCTTTAGCTTAGCGGTGGTGACGTAAAGTCATGTGACCGTGCTGTAGTTCCTTTATAGACCAACATTAGCCTCCTTTAGCTTAGCGGTGGTGACGTGAAGTCATGTGACCGTGCTGTAGTACCTTTATAGCCCAACATTAGCCTCCTTTAGCTTAGCGGTGGTGACGTGAAGTCATGTGACCGTGCTGTAGTTCCTTTATAGCCCAACATTAGCCACCTTTAGCTTAGCGGTGGTGACGTGAAGTCATGTGACCGTGCTGTAGTTCCTTTATAGCCCAACATTAGCCACCTTTAGCTTAGCGGTGGTGACGTGAAGTCATGTGACCGTGCTGTAGTTCCTTTATAGCCCAACATTAGCCACATTTAGCTTAGCGGTTGTGAAGTCATGTGACCGTGCTGTAGTTCCTTTATAGCCCAACATTAGCCTCCTTTAGCTTAGCGGTGGTGACGTGAAGTCATGTGACCGTGCTGTAGTTCTTTATAGCCCAACATTAGCCTCCTTTAGCTTAGCGGTGGTGACGTGAAGTCATGTGACCGTGCTGTAGTTCCTTTATAGCCCAACATTAGCCTCCTTTAGCTTAGCGGTGGTGACGTGAAGTCATGTGACCGTGCTGTAGTTCCTTTATAGCCCAACATTAGCCACCTTTAGCTTAGCGGTGGTGACGTGAAGTCATGTGACCGTGCTGTAGTTCCTTTATAGTCCAACATTAGCCACCTTTAGCTTAGCGGTGGTGACGTGAAGTCATGTGACTGTGCTGTAGTTCCTTTATAGCCCAACATTAGCCACCTTTAGCTTAGCGGTGGTGAAGTCATGTGACCGTGCTGTAGTTCCTTTATAGCCCAACATTAGCCACCTTTAGCTTAGCGGTGGTGACGTGAAGTCATGTGACCGTGCTGTAGTTCCTTTATAGCCCAACATTAGCCACCTTTAGCTTAGCGGTGGTGACGTGAAGTCATGTGACCGTGCTGTAGTTCCTTTATAGCCCAACATTAGCCACCTTTAGCTTAGCGGTGGTGAAGTCACGTGACCGTGCTGTAGTTCCTTTATAGCCCAACATTAGCCTCCTTTAGCTTAGCGGTGGTGACGTGAAGTCATGTGACCGTGCTGTAGTTCCTTTATAGCCCAACATTAGCCACCTCTAGCTTAGCGGTGGTGACGTGAAGTCATGTGACCGTGCTGTAGTTCCTTTATAGCCCAACATTAGCCACCTTTAGCTTAGCGGTGGTGAAGTCATGTGACCGTGCTGTAGTTACTTTATAGCCCAACATTAGCCTCCTTTAGTTTAGCGGTGGTGACGTGAAGTCATGTGACCGTGCTGTAGTGTCTTTATAGCCCAACATTAGCCTGCTTTAGCTTAGTGGTGGTGACGTGAAGTCATGTGACCGTGCTGTAGTACCTTTTATAGCCCAACATTAGCCTCCTTTAGCTTAGCGGTGGTGACGTGAAGTCATGTGACCGTGCTGTAGTTCCTTTATAGCCCAACATTAGCCACCTTTAGCTTAGCGGTGGTGACGTGAAGTCATGTGACCCGTGCCTGTAGTTTCCTTTATAGCCCAACATTAGGCCACTTTAGCTTAGCGGTGGTGACGTGAAGTCATGTGACCGTGCTGTAGTTCCTTTATAGCCCAACATTAGCCACCTTTAGCTTAGCGGTGGTGAAGTCATGTGACCGTGCTGTAGTTCCTTTATAGCCCAACATTAGCCACCTTTAGCTTAGCGGTGGTGACGTGAAGTCATGTGACCGTGCTGTAGTTCCTCTACAGCCCAACATTAGCCACCTTTAGCTTAGCGGTGGTGACGTGAAGTCATGTAACCATGCTCTAGTTCCTTTATAGCCCACATTAGCCACCTTTGGCTTAGCGGTGGTGAAGTCATGTGACCGTGCTGTAGTTCCTTTATAGCCCAACATTAGCCTCCTTTAGCTTAGCGGTGGTGACGTGAATTCATGTGACCGTGCTGTAGTTCCTTTATAGCCCAACATTAGCCACCTTTAGCTTAGCGGTGGTGACGTGAAGTCATGTGACCGTGCTGTAGTTCCTTTATAGCCCAACATTAGCCACCTTTAGCTTAGCGGTGGTGAAGTCATGTGACCGTGCTGTAGTTCCTTTATAGCCCAACATTAGCCTCCTTTAGTTTAGCGGTGGTGACGTGAATTCATGTGACCGTGCTGTAGTTTCTTTATAGCCCAACATTAGCCTCCTTTAGCTTAGCGGTGGTGACGTGAAGTCATGTGACCGTGCTGTAGTACCTTTTATAGCCCAACATTAGCCTCCTTTAGCTTAGCGGTGGTGACGTGAAGTCATGTGACCGTGCTGTAGTTCCTTTATAGCCCAACATTAGCCACCTTTAACTTAGCGGTGGTGACGTGAAGTCTTGTGACCGTGCTGTAGTTCCTTTATAGCCCAACATTAGCCACCTTTAGCTTAGCGGTGGTGACGTGAAGTCATGTGACCGTACTGTAGTTCTTTTATAGCCCAACATTAGCCACCTTTAGCTTAGCGGTGATGAAGTCATGTGACCGTGCTGTAGTTCCTTCATAGCCCAACATTAGCTTTTTACTTTAAATAACCCAAAATCACATGGAGAAATCCCATTGGAGCAGGGAGATGCCTTCACTGCACCACTTGTTTAACCTTTCTGGTCTTAATCTTCTATGTTTAGGTGCAACTAAAGAGCGATACCAGCAGATCTTTTGCCCTGAAAGTGTTGAAGAAGCGTCACATCATGGACACCAGCCAGCAGGGACACATCCTGTCTGAGCGCCGCATCATGGTGGAGGCTCACAGTCCCTTCATCATTAGGTCAAACTACTTCCCTTTTTCTTGTGCTGCTGAGGATTTATTCGGCACTTATTAAAGAAGCACTTTAGACTTTCTAAGAGGTGGCTTTCTCCTGCATTGTCTGTAAGGGATACCAAATAGACGGATGCATAATATCTAGTTTATTTTGGCCCCTGCTGATGGTGACTATCGTAACCAATTATAATCTACAAAAAAAAGGTGTGACAATTTAGTCCTGAGATTTAGGCAAATGTCTGCATTTTTTAATATTTTAAGTCCTATAGATTTACCTTATACTTACAGAAAGCTTAAGAGGTATGTTTTTTCAAAAATAAAAAGCCCCATTGTTACTCTATCGTTATAGGAAGCTCAGGAGGAAGCATGTTTTTCAAAATAAAAGCCCCATAGATTTTACTTAATACCTACAGGAAGCTCAGGAATGTTCATGTTTTTCAAAATAAAAGCTCCATTGAGTAACTGCTTTCAGGACGCTCCGGGCAAGTCCTGTTTTTCAAATTAAAAGACCCAGAAAGGAACAATATTGCAAGTGCTGTCAATGCCCACTGAACACTGGGAATGTTAGCAGTAGGAACAAAAACTTTAGAGTTTCAGACTTTCACATGGAAACTATTCCTTTACATTGAACCCTCTTCCTGCAGGTTGTATCGGACTTTCAGAGACTCCAAATATCTGTACATGCTGCTGGAGGCGTGCCTGGGAGGAGAGCTGTGGACGCTGCTCAGAGACAGGTGAGTGATTTACACTTTGTGCGTGTTCAGGTCCATGATTTCCTCATCCTCTGAATGTGTTTCAGAGGATCTTTTGATGACGGCGTGACTCGGTTCTACACCGGCTGCGTGGTCGAGGCTCTGGCCTTCCTGCACTGCAGAGGAATCATCTACAGGGACCTGAAGCCTGAGAACATCATCCTGGACCAGCGGGGATACGTCAAGCTGGTCTGCACACGTCTCATTCACCTTCTCTAGTTTGACAGTATGCTCTGTTAGTGACTGCAGGAGGACATATAACAGTAAAATCTGTACATTTTTAGATTTTCAGAATATAGTTTTTCTAAAAAGTCAGAATTTTGAGATTTGAAGAAACTAATACAAAAAATTGTGATTTTCAGCAAGGTCAGAATATTTAGATTTTTAGAAAAAAGTCCGAATTTTAAGAATAAAACAGGATTGTTAACAGTGCGTTTCATCAGAGGTCATTCTCAGTTGAGGTGATGGGATGGTTTTACAGCATCCTCTGTAAGTGACTGCAGGAGGACATGTGACAGGAATAAGTCAGAATTTTGGGGGGAAAAGTCAGAATTTAGATATTTTCTGAATAAAGTCAGGATTGTATGATTTTCTGAAAAAAGTCAGAATTTTGAGAAAAGTCAGAATCTTGAGATTTTCAGAAACAATTCAACGTTTGAAGATTTTTAGGAAAAAATCATAATTTTGAGATTTTTGGAAAAAAATAGAATCTTGAGATTTTCTGAAAAAAGTAAGAATATTTAGATTTTGAGAAAAAAGTCCGAATTTTAAGCATAAAACAGGATTTTACAGTGCATTTTATAGGGTTAGGGTTTTCTCAGCTGAGGTGATGGGATGGTTTTACAGCATGCTCTGTTAGTGACTGCAGGAGGACATGTGACAGGAAAATCTGTACATTTTTTGATTTTCAGAAAAAGTAAAAATTTAGGGAGGAAAAGTCAGAATTTATAGATTTTCTAAAAAAAGGCAGAATCTTGAGATATTGAGAAAAAGTCAGAATTTTAAGAAAAGTCAGAATTTTAAGAAAAGTCAGAAACTTGATTTTTTAAAGAATTGTCATATTTGCCGTATGTCTATTTTTGAGAAAAAAAGTCCCCCAAAAATAGCCTTATCTGAATAAACTCATCTCATATTGGTAATTTAAATGGTTAGTTTGTCAACGTTAAAGTGTCAGCACTTTAGTACTAGTTTATTTGGCGAGTAATATTTGATAAAGCGGGCTCTAACTGGAAGTACCATACGGTGAAAAATCCCAACAAAGCAAAAACTGAAAGTATTCTCAATTTGTGTTTTCAAAGTTAGAATCTTGAGATTTTGCGAAAAAGTCAGAATTTTGAGAAAAAATTCAGAATCTTTTGATTTTGAGAAATAATCAACATTTTGAGTGAAGGTTCATAAACGTGGCTCTAAGAGGAAGTACCAACACTTATAAGGCCATGTGTCAGCGCCCTGGTGCAGGTGAAGCAAATCCCAACAATGCTTAAATGAAAGTATTCTCAATGTGTGTTTCAGGTGGACTTTGGCTTTGCTAAGAAAGTGGGTCTGGGTAAGAAGACGTGGACGTTTTGTGGGACTCCAGAGTACGTGGCCCCTGAGATCATCCTGAATAAGGGCCACGACAGCTCTGCAGACTGCTGGTCTCTGGGAATACTGGTCTTTGAGCTGCTCAGTGGCAGGTAGGCTGGACATATTTCAGTTTCACACCATCAGTCACATTTATTCCCAATTATAGTTTGCTGTAGGCTATTAAAGGTTGGGTTGCACATTTTGATGGTTTTCTACAGAACTGCTAACCCAAACAGCCTCACGCGGGGCACCACATTCCCACTCTGGGTATTTTATTTTGAAAAACAAGCCTAATCCTGAGCTTTATGTTACGTAACAATTACTTATTTTATTTTGGAATACATGTCTCTTCCTGATCTTGCTTAAAGGATACAGTTACACTATGAGGCTTTTATTTTGAAATAGAAACCTAATCCTGACCTTTCTGTTACATCTCTATTACTTGTTGGGGCTTTTATTTTGAAATACATGCTTCCTTTAGGGATACAGTTACACTATGAGGCTTTTAATTGAAATAGAAACCTAATCCTCAGATTTCTGTTACACCACTATTACTTGCTGGGATTATTTGTACAGTATGCAATAATTTAAACTGCAATGGAGAAATCCTGTTGTCTTTTTGTGGAGGGAACCAGGGAGATGCTGCATTCAGGGTCCAACACAGAAATACGACACTACAACACCACTCCGTTAAAGACACTTAACTGTTTGCAATATCTACATGTTCCCTCTGTCCTCAGTCCTCCATTTTCAGAATCTGATCCCATGAAGACGTACAACATCATCCTGCGAGGCATCGACATGATCGAGTTTCCCAAAAAAATCGCCAAAAGCGCCGCCAACCTCATCAAACGCCTCTGCAGGTGATCAATTATCCTTCTTTGCAAATTAAAGTAAAACTGACGACTGGTTTGACAATTTTTTTTGTTTTTAATCTCAGAGACAATCCTTCAGAGCGGCTGGGGAATCAGAAAAATGGAGTGAAGGACATCCAGAAACACAAGTGAGACGAGATCATTATGGGATGTCACTACACATGAGAGTAACACATGCGTCACTTCCAGGCAAAAATGACGGCTCCGCCCACTTTTGGGGGAAACAACGCTGTCATTTATACGGCGGTCGATACAAATTCTGAAGTTTTTGCCAATCCGATCAGAAATGTAAGAAAACCGTGGATTTGTGGATCTTCAAAGAGCGCGGTTACGACGGCCAGACAGGCAAACGGTTACATTAAGCCATTAGAAATCGATGATCGGGCTCGATGTATGGTTAAATATAGCAGTAGGCTATCGATTTTCATAGATGAGAGTAACATCTACGTCACTTTACGGCCCCGCCCACTTTTGGGGGAAACAACGCTGTCATTTGAACGGCGATCGAGCCTGAAGCCCCAGAGCTCTTCTGTTACGGTCCTTTGTTCTTAGAGGAAGTTCAGAAACACTGAACTCTGGATTTGTTTTAATGTTTGAGGAGCAATAATCGACACAGCAGCTTGTTGGCGTGATACAACTATTATTTTCCGCCTCGCTCATAAGAGTAACAGCTGGAGAAATTACAGCCTCGCCTACTGATTTTAATTTAATGCATATATCGAGCCCGATCGTCGATTTCAAATTATTTAATGTAATTGTTTGCCTGTCTGGCCATCGTAATCGAGCTCTTTGAAGATCAGGAAATCCACGGTTTTCAAACATTTGTCATCGGATTGGCAAAAACTTAAGAATTTGTATCGACCGCCGTTCAAATGACAGCGTTGGTTTCCCCAAAAAGTGGGCGGGGCCGTAAAGTGACGTAGATGTTACTCTCATCCATGGACATCGATCGCCTGCTGCTATATTGAACCATATATCGAGCCCGATCGTCGATTTCCAATGATTGACATGACAAAATATGGATGTTTTTCTCATAGTTTTCACGTTTTATAAGAATTGTTATTTTTTGTATTTATTATTTGTATTATTATTTTATTATTCAAGTATATATTTATACATTTTACAATTTATTATTATTATGATTAATATTATTATTAGAGCAAATAGATATACCCTAAGTATTGTTTGTCTGATACCTGTGAAGGAAATAAGTGGCGAATACATTTAAATAATAAGTAAATAAAACATAATAATATATCAAAAATATTCTAAATATATTCTTGTATTCCCCTGTCTTTAAAAAATATATGAAAATGTTTGTCCTGCAGGTGGTTTGAAGGCTTCAACTGGGAAGGCCTCCGTCAGGGAACCATCGCCTCTCCGTTCACCCCCGCAGTGAGTATCCTGTACGGGGTAAAAGTACACAGAGTACACAGAGCACTGAGTATTAATATGTGTTTTCCTACCAGGTGAAAGGACCTTTGGACACCAGCAACTTTGACTATTTCCCCGAGGACACAGAAGACCCTCCTCCTGACGAAGAGTCCGGCTGGGACCTGGAGTTTTAGGGAAAAACATTCAAATATATTTATTTATTTATTGTATAGTATAAGCCGTAAGAAATAGCTTTATATTTCAAGCATTTTAGTTATTACAGGACAAAGAATAACAAATAATAATTTATGGGAGAATATAAATTAGATGTTTGGAATAATCATAACATTTAATGATAAATAAATGATGGTATTTTAAATAAAGTCATATAAAGACAATAAAAACATGTGAATGCACAAGGACACATTTACACCATGAGGTTTTTATTTTGAAATACAAACCTAATCCTGAGCTTTCTGTTACGTTACAATTACTTGCTAGGCCTTTTATTTTGAAATACATGCTTCCTTTAAGGATAGTTACATTTTGAGGCTTTTATTTTGAAATACATGCTTCCTTTAAGGATGCAGTTACATTATGAGGCTTTTATTTTGAAATACATGCTTCCTTTAAGGATATAGTTACACAATGAGGCTTTTATTTTGAAAAACAAGCTTCCTTTAAGAATAGTTACATTATGAGGCTTTTATTTTGAAATACATGCTTCCTTTAAGGATATAGTTACACAATTAGGCTTTTATTTTGAAAAACAAGCTTCCTTTAAGGATACAGTTACATTATGAGGCTTTTATTTTGAAATACACGCTTCCTTTAAGGATGCAGTTACATTATGAGGCTTTTATTTTGAAATACATGCTTCCTTTAAGGATATAGTTACACAATGAGGCTTTTATTTTGAAAAACAAGCTTCCTTTAAGAATAGTTACATTATGAGGCTTTTATTTTGAAATACATGCTTCCTTTAAGGATATAGTTACACAATTAGGCTTTTATTTTGAAAAACAAGCTTCCTTTAAGGATACAGTTACATTATGAGACTTTTATTTTGAAATACATGCTTCCTTTAAGGATATAGTTACACAATGAGGCTTTTATTTTGAAAAACAAGCTTCCTTTAAGGATACAGTTACATTATGAGGCTTTTATTTTGAAATACATGCTTCCTTTAAGGATATAGTTACACAATGAGGCTTTTATTTTGAAAAACAAGCTTCCTTTAAGGATACAGTTACATTATGAGGCTTTTATTTTGAAATACATGCTTCCTTTAAGGATACAGTTACACAATGAGGCTTTTATTTTGAAAAACAAGCTTCCTTTAAGGATACAGTTACACGATGAGGCTTTTATTTTGAAAAACAAGCCTGAATGCATTGAGAAAAAGGTGTATGATAGAAAGCCATTTAAAAATCTGTATATTAAAAAGGATTATTTTGAGACATTTTTAATAAACTTTCTAAATGTATTTTCCTGTAAATATTTGTTTGAATGTTTGACTTCTCTTAATCTTCAGTATGGAGGTCATTATTTTATTTAAAAAATAATGTATTTTATTGAGAAACAACGTGATTTTTGAACAAACAATAAAATGCCTTGGTTGTGTTTTCACGTGAGTTTCTGAAGTGTGTCCTTGAGGATTGTATTCCACTGTGTTCAGTTTTAAATCAGGTAATTATTTAAAAGAATAAAACAACTGTTGGTGACTGACGAGTCAGATGAGACTGATACCAATATGTCGTCTGTGCAGATAACAAAGACGTAGAAAAGATCGATTTAGCCAGTTATGGGCTAAAGTAGCCGTTAGCCCGTTTCGCTAAGTGCTGATTTAGACTCTTGGTGTTGGACTTCTGTTCCGTGGAGGTGAAATGGTTAATATCGTCTGTTAGCTGAGTTCTTCCCGTTAAGTGGGTATGCTTCATTAATAGCTTGTTAAATGTTAAGAAGCCTTGAGACGCTGTTTCTAGCAAGATGTTGCGTCTGCCCCTATGGTCTGCCCCCGGGAGTCTCACAGTAATAAGAGCGCTGTTAGGAGAGTTGACGAGTGGCATTCACAGTGGCCAATCAGAGTGGTACTCAAACCGGATAGGTCACACGGGATGAGGGTTCCCAACCAACCACAATTGTTTAAACTAAGGAAGTAGCGGAATTCATACACCGATAGCAGCACCGTTTGTCCAGCGGCTTAACAGCATACCGATACTGATTTAGGCCCATTCCCAAACCGCCCCCTACACCCTACCCCTACACCCTACCCCTCCGCTTGCGCGTTCCCGCGGAGGGTCCGCCATATTGAGGGCTGTTCCAAAGCAACGAGTGTGGAGGGGGAGTGGGCTATCAAGCCCTCAAACAGCGAGTCTGCAGCGGTGCTGACTTGAGACCGGTCTCTACCTGACCGGAGTCACGCTGTGTGTGTCCGTCAGGAAACAAGCTGTTAACAAGTAGTTCCAGCAAACATCCACTGATAAACTGCGATGCTAACAACCTCATGATAACCTCATATGTTTTAACTTAGGATCAAACCTGTGTTTAGTCTAGAAAAAGGTAGATGTGTGCATTTTATTATAAAGTTGTGTATATTTACAGACCGTTGCAAAAACTAAGAAGCTTATAAACATCAGGTTTCAAACTAAAAGAGCTTTGAAACACAATGAAAGATGTTTGGAGTTTTATTTGAGTTATTCATTTAAACTTTTTGTCTAAGAGATGCTGATTTGAAACCGTTGTTACAAACAGTTACGGCATTTCCTGTTTCTGCGGAGAGAGGAGAGGCCGTCCCAAAGCTTGCTGCTGTGTTTACTCCATCTGACAGGAGGAGCCTCGTTGAGCTGCGAGTGAGGCTACAGACGGAGTTCACTCCGTCACGGAGGGGCAGGGTCGAGGGAGTGGTTTGGGTTTGGGCCATAGTACCGGTTGTCGATACCCATCCCGACTGACGACCATTATCATTTCATTAATGCATTTGACTCGTCAAACCGAAATGACTCTGTTTTTAGTTATCCTTTCTGGTTTTGTAGGTTTAAAAGTGAACGTGACTGAAATGACTGTATTTTAATTTGAAATGGGTAATCTAATAAACAAAAAAACTATTTCTAAGAATTTACGTTTTTCTTATAATTTAGAATTTTCTAAGAAATGTACATTTAAAAAAGTTTATCTCATTATTTTAAAGTTTTTTTTGTTTGGACTTTTCTCAACATTTTGGGATTTTTCAAAGAATTTAGATTTTCTTTTCATAATTTTCAACTTTTCTAATCATTTTTGACTTTTCTCAGATTTTTCTACGTCAGAATTTAAACTTTCACTCAAAACTCTAAATAAATACTTTTAATCCGATCTCCATTTTTTCGTGTGACCCTAATAATCTTTCGTAAATCTCATATGAATATTTTGGGGAAAATATATTTAGCATTTTTTTGTTGCAAGGTCTCCTCTAATTTTCATTGGTTAAAATCCAATAAACAGAAGTATATATATATACATATTATCCAGTGTAGTAATACATACAATTGCATTGATTTTTTTATAGATTTGTATTATTTATACTATGCGTATGCGCACTATGCCGTTATCAAAATAAATCAAGATCAGAGAATTAGGAGAGGAGGAAAAGGTTCATAACTGTGAGATAAAAAGGTACGAGATATTTTCTAATGCTGCTAAATTGTGTGTGTGTGTGTGTGTGTGTGAGTGTGTGTGGTGTGTGTGTGTGGTGTGTGAGTGTGTGTGGGTGTGTGTGTGAGTGTGTGTGTGGGGTGTGGGTGTGTGTGTGTGAGAGTGTGTGTGTGTGATTGTGTGTGTGTGTGTGTGTGTGTGGGTGTGGTGTGTGGGTGGTGTGTGTGTGTGTTGTGTTGTGTGTGTGTGTGTGTGTGTGTGTGTGTGGTGTTGTGTGTGGTGTGGTGTGTGTGTGTGTGTGCGTGTGTGTGTGATTGTGTGGTGTGTAGTGTCGTGTGTGTGTGTGGTAGTGTGTGTGTGTGTGTGTGTGTGTGTGTGTGTGTGTGTGTGTGTGTGTGTGGTGTGTGTGTGTGTGGGTGTGGGCGTGTGTGTGTGCTTGTGTGGTGTGTGTGTGTGTGTGTGTGCGCGTGTGTGTTGGGTG